GTTCAATCAGGGTGGAGGGTATGCATAGATTATAGGAAATTAAATAAGGCCACCAAGAAAGACCATTTCCCTTTACCCTTTATGGACCAAATGTTAGAGAGATTGTCTGGAAGATCCCATTATAGTTTCCTGGATGGGTATTCAGGATACATTCAAGTCCCTATTTCTCCTGAAGACCAGGAAAAGACCACTTTTGTTTGTCATTATGGGACCTTTGCTTTTAAAAGAATGCCTTTTGGTCTATGCAATGCCCCTGCAACATTCCAAAGGTGCATGACCAGCATCTTTTCAGATTACTTGACAAATTGAGACATGTGCATTGTTTACAGCTGATTTTTGGATACTAAGGAAAAATTCTGCACTTTGAAAAGTTATTTTTGGACTTGTAAGCTGATTTTTTGAGTGCAAAATGCAAATTTTACACTTTTTACAGCTTATAGGTGCTGAAATAGAAAAGAAATGTAACACCCTAATCCGTCCAGGTCTGCAGCCCTTTTCGGACTAAAGTATAAACTTGGTATTCGTAAACATTCAAAATATTTCAAATATTTAAAACTTTATTTCATAATAAAGAATTCAAATAGTAACAGAGTAATTTAATGTTGCGGAAGCTTAATAAAACATAATACAAACATAATTAATTTATGTCTTTTCAACAGTAATTTAAATCCAAAACACACATTCGTCCGACCTTCTCGTCACATTCGCCTCCAGGAAATCATTTCTTCATTCTTTTTGTTTACCTACGTGTAGCAAATAAAACATACTACACGCTCAGCGTTTAAGCTGAGTAAGCATATCTAATGCGTCGAACATCCATATAAACTGAATCTAAATTCATAATCAAACCCATTTGATATCATGCACATAATGTTCAGTTCAGGTACTCAATAATCATAAGTCAATATTCAACATTCATTATATTATTTTCACATTTTCTCCGTCATTGATAATAACCACAATATTCAATTCAATATTTATTCATATTCAATATTCAACATTATCCTTATACTATTCTTAGTCTAAGGCCAATCACTTTAATATTTGTCAACCCTTAAATGAATTCTAGTTTAAATTATTAAACTATATTCCAATATAAAGTACTCCTAAATAATCCTTAAGCTAGGCCTAGTTTAAGATAAAAGGGTTTTGAAAATCTTAAACTTACCTTCACTTAAGGCCAACCAGAAACCGACAGCGTAGTGTTCACTATTGG